CACCACCACCACACTGTCTCTCAGACATTATTAAACAGAGCTTTCACGGATGCTTTTTTTAAAAGTGTTAAGAGGCATAAGTAAGTGTGTATTGTCTCTCTCTGTGTGTCTTGTGTGCTTATTTTAAAATTCCTTCCTTGTCCTTGCCTCCCTTGCTCTGTAGCTGATTTGAATATTTTACCCACATGGCACCAGGTCAGGCCTCTGTCACTTTAGAGATCACTCTCTTACACACACACAGACTCAACACATACAAAAAGCACCTCTATGCTCTGAATGGCAGTTTGGCAGGTGTCACTTCCTTGGCTCTCTGAGCTGTCAGTCAAATAGACACTTCATCCTTCCAATCTCTGACAGACCGGTTGTCTCTGATGCACACCGTGGAGTTCCAAGGTAGCCACAAATCTTGGGCATGACTTAAAAATGTTCTTGTTTTGGTAGATATTTTGTGGCATTTTCACCATTATTGAATAACTGAGATAGAAAACAGGGTGAGAGAGTGGTGCGATGCAACGATGATGGCTTGAATCAAACTGAGGATATTAAATGGTATCCACCTTAACTATTCAGCTACCACAGTACCTGTAAACATTTTGCTTTGACAGTATCACAAAGGTATACTATATTTTTGCAGTTGCTTTATAATTGTGTAACATAAGCAGGTACTGCCCCACATGAGCGTTCCATGATCACGGTGTTTGTAAGGATGCAACTCCTACCTTTACATGATGGCAGAGCTCTGTCCCACACTGGCTTCCCATCATGCCCCATGACACAGGTGATGGTGTCCCCGCCCACTGTCGTGTATCCATGGTGACAGTTGTAGGAGACCTGAGATCCAAGTTTATAGTCATAACCTGTGCGACTGGCGTTCATAATGTTACCAGGGTCAAAACAGGCCTCTCTTGGTTTTTCTGTGGAGAATGGAGACAGTTCATGTTACTGGACAAACTCCAACTCATTTGGATATTAATAATTCATAATTAACTGTTAAAATTTTTCATTTACAATTTTACAGTAGCTCCTAAATTCATAAGATATCATATGATATCAACACCAGGCTGTGAGCTGCAGCCTCCCTTGTGGTGAAGAAAAATGAGTCTTCTTATGGTGTTATGAGTGACAACTACAGAATTCTGGCTATAATGAATACTTATTACAAAATATCTAATTAGACTAAATGATACATTAGATAAAATTATAAAACAGTTGAGTAATTAAAGGGTGGGTTATGTAGGATGACTTGTGTATTTTAAGAGAATAATAGACAAATCAGAAGAAAATAGGGTTTTATATTCTAGGTTTAGATCAAAACAAAGCCTTCAATTGCATATCCAGAGATTAACTCTGGGTTGTAATGAAAGTATATGGTTTTCCTGATGGTTTCATTCATATGGTGAAGTGTCTGTATGTTATATCAAGTGTTTGCAATGGAAAGAAAAATGAATGACTCTCTCTCTCCACATGCTGGCAAATTTGTGTGATTTTCATTAGAGTTTAAATATATCGTCACAGCCAACAGTTACAGCTGTGCATTTATTTCTAAAGTCTAAATCTTTCATGCAGCTCAAAAAAGTAATGTTCAGATTTCATTAGAGGTGAAGCAGTTTTGATGATAATTTTGGGCGAAATTTAGTTGACAGGCTGCTACTAACCCTTAATGTGGGCTATATTTAATATAATTTCCTCCCTTGGGAGAGGAAAAACAAATTAAAGCGGAGCCAAAAAAAGAAAACAGGAATAAAGGAGTAGAAGCAAACTGTCTTTATGGCTTGGCATTGGACCAGATTGTTTGCTTTTTTGGTGATTGCCCGGTAAGAATGAGATATTGGCCTTGACAAAGGGAAACCGACAGATGGAGAACGAGAGGTGGAGGATACAAAGGAAGTAAAAGAGGGAGATGATTAAGTTTGTATTTAATTAAAGAGATGGCAGATGAAAGGTAGTGAATTAATGACAAAAGTACAGAGGTGTGAGGTAGCGTGAGGAGACAGACAACAGAGAAAGAGATAATCTTTTTTTAATTAGAGATAAATGGAGTGAGAAAAAACAAGAGAAAAGGAGTTTATAAAACGTGACAGAGCAGATCTAGTCTGCAGTTAGTCAAACAACTCATCATCAGTTCCACACTGACTGTAGCTGTTAAATCACCCCCAGTCAAGCAACGTCTCTAATAAACCAAGATGACTCACAGCCAGTGAAAGTAAACAACTCATGGGCTGACATGGAACAGCATGCCCTGAAAAAGACTTCTGAAGCACAATATCCAGTCTGCACAAGACTCATTATAGTATTAACATTTTAATTGTTACACTTCATAAACACTGAATTTAGCGACAGTGATTATTTATTTTTTATGTGAGTGTACAAAACGTCCAGTCTAATACAGTGCCAGGTTTGCTAAGAAAATGGCTTTGTGCCAGTGTGTGCTGCCATTGTCACTGACTTTGTGGCTGAAATCTGTATGCATTCAGTGTCAGATTTACTAAAACAGCAGCTCATTATGCAGTCAGATCCCGACTTGAACCTGGCTCTGCCCTCGAGAAACTATGAAAGTGCAGGAGAGCTCACAGACACAGTTTGGGCAGTGGAATTTCTATGAGATTACAAAGATAAGAAAAGAAATAATAATGTAGCAACCCTGATTGCAAAACAGCCACTTAGGCCATTTAAAAAACAAACAAACTATTACTGTTGTTCATAATATTACTCATAGAACTATGACATAATCTGCAGCACAAAGTTTATTTATTTATACATCAGGAAGCAATAAACACATTCATCAGAAGCAAAAAGAGGATTAATGAATGATGTAATAAGACAAATCAAATACTGAGGTAAAAACACTCTCACTTAAATGTCTTATCAGTTAACATTTACACTCAATGAAAGTTCACGTGCAGCCTGTTGTGATTTTAAAGTTCATTGATTGTTAAGTTAAAAAAGTTTGATAAACACAAACCAATACTCCCCATCAACTATTAGTCTGTGCTATAGCAGTTGGGTCTTGTACCCATGAATAATAGCATATTGCTTCATTTCTGGTTCTAATAATTGCTTTTTTGTTTTATACAAGCCTATATTTAATGCATGCCTCTTTGTGGAGGGGCAGGAGGAACCATGCAAACACTAAAATGACAGGCATACTGTCACTCCAGTCCGATGTGTTTGTTTGCCAAATACAGCTCAGCTTTTGGGGGAGATTGCCTCATCTCTAGCTAAAAAGATAACTGCAAAAACATAGTAAATCTACCCCAGACAGTATAAAAAAGTTATATATACACACACACAAGACACTTTATTAGGTACACCTGAACAATTGTATACACTTGAATGCAGCACCTTTGCTTTAACATCTGTGTCTTTGAAGCTCAAAATGTTTTGGTGAAAATTGTCATAAATATATAAATTCAATTATATGTTTATTATTGAGGTCATAGTTAAAGGTGATGTTGTACTGGACTACATTATATTTAGAGGTGCTCCTAATATTCTGATGTATGTAGCTGGGAAGGACAGGTGTACAGGTGTACCTAATAAAGTGGTCACTGTATGTACGTGCGTTTAGATGCGTCAAGATGATCTGGTTTACTTTTATGTGGCTTTGAACACAGTGCAGCACTACACTGATGTTCCCAGTACTCTACCTGTGCAATACTAATACAACACTAGTGCACTGCCACTACTATTACTACTATAGCTACCCTACTGTTACTCCGCCTGCTACTGTATTACTATGATACTACTACTACCACTTTAACTAAAACAGTACTACAGCTTGCTATACTTTTACTACTACAAATAATCTACAGGATGGGCAGTTTTAAAACATTCATTATGTAAGAAGAATTACAGTACATTCAATGCAGCCTTGATGTAAACTGCAGGACAATAAGCTGAAGCTGTAGGGTTTAATTACCTCTATATTCGATTGCGAAGCCAGACATGCCCAGTGAGGCATCTGATCGGAATGCCAGGAAGAGGCTGTTACTACTGCTCTCTATTCGCTCTGGGGCCTGGTTGCCTTGGAGACTTGCTAGTAACGGTCCATTGGAGTCTTCACCCTCATAGATGTGCAGGAAGTCATAACTTGGCTCCATGTTGAAACTGGAGTAAAAAAACAAAACAAAACAAAACAAAAATCAAGATTAAGTATGAAGGGCGTTTAATTGTGTAATATATGTGTATGTGCATGTGATCAAAACCTCCAATCAATCAATCCAGTGATGTGTGTTAAATTCAAATACCTGCCTCGTTTAATGACTTTCAATTAGTTTGTGCTCTCTCTCTCTCTCGGCTTTATGTTGACATGTTTGACAAGTTTTCTGGATGTGTTTACTGCATTCAAAATGAAAAACTTGCCTCAAACTGCACAAGGCTACTTATGCATGTTTCATTGTAGAATTCTGCTGATTTTCACTTTGACAATTTTTGCTCATCTCTCTAAACATACATGAGAAAATCTGGCCCTCATGAGGGTAAACACATGCACTCTCACACAAAGTCTCAGTGTTTGCACTGAAGGTGGTTGTGTTAGCCCAGTCTCCCACCTGTCACGCAGAAACATAATTGTACAGTATACACACACGCATACGCGTGCACCCACAAGCACACGCATGTCCCTGTGTTTGCTTTCAGAGTGAGTATGTGTACATTAGCTCAGTCTCCAGCATGTCTAGTTAAACCATCCTGCTCCGTGTCTGGGTGGAAGTCAGACGACTTAACTGTGTGGGCATGTGTGTTGTTGTGTGTTCTGTCAGAGCAAAGAAAGATAAGGAGGAAGAGAGAAAAATGGAAATATATTGTGCATGCTGAAGCGTAGCAGTATTGATAACTAACATAAATATCCCATGTGGTGTTTGAGCAGCAGGGGTGCAATACATGAGAAAATCCCTGTATTATTTGTATCCTGAGTTTTGTCTACATACACTGTACACATTCATACCACCAGCACGGACAAGCAATGCACACGTCTGCAGAGAGTGGTAACAGTTGTTGGTGGTAATGCTCCATAAAACATAGCAAAGTACCAATAAAGGGGAAGAGGACCCGGAGATGATGGAAACAGTGCATGCTTCAGAGCATAAAAAGAATGGCTTTCTGAACATTTTACATGTTTGATAGACCTTTAGGATACACACAATTTATTTTGGCAAGAAATGTAAAATGTTACATAAAAATTCTACAGGATGCAATAGAGAACAGGCTGAAATATAGATATAAAAAACAAATAAACAAAAAAAGTATGTTACTAAAACTCAGAAATGTCAAAATAAAGTGGTATCTTTGCAGAATTCCTTCCTCACGTGTCCCCAGTTTTCTCTAACCTTTATTTTACAACACAAATAACAGTCAGGAGTTTGGGCAAAAGGGATGTTAGTGTCATTTGGCTGGCAATATTTATTGAAAACGACTTGCTGAACTTAGAAGAACCTTATGTAGTCATTACCAAAGTTACAATAACTGCAAAGAATGCTCACATTTAGGCCTTGTGTTTATATCTGCTGCAGAATGAGCTTAACTACATATAAGCCCATTGTGCAGTGACAACGCATTAAAATGATCCATGTTAATACCGTCTGCATTAGTGATATAGTCTGGGTCTGAATGAATGCTAAAGCTACTAAAAGTCATAAATGAACACAAAAATCTCACTGAGGAAAAATAGGACAGAAACAGAGAGTTTAAAAAGTCGTTTAAAAGTTAACACTTGAATGCCAATGAAGAACCGTCATGCAAAACTGAGAGGGTACTGTATATTTTAAAGTGGCAAATTATACAGTGTAAGTGGAACAAAATAGTCAGTATTCATTATGATAACAATGCCAAATATCTTCCATTGACTAAAGTAGCCAGTAAAATTATGAACAATAACATCAGGACATTTATAGAATAACATTGCTAGTTTTATTAAGACAGTAATGCTTTTCTGGCTGATACTTTTTGGCAGTGCCATATAACACTGGGCACTGGAGAAGCACGAACTGTGCCATGATTTGATTCAAAAACTGATCAAAAGACTTAGTCACTGGTGATACATCAATGCCGGCCTAGTGCAGCTGAGATTACTGTATAAAAACAACAATTACTAGCTTAGAATTAGATACATGATGACAAAGAAATGACACACGTCATTCACAAAACAACCAACATCAAAACATCATTTAAAGTAAAATTAAGCTTTATCTCACTGTAACAACAGAAGGGAATTATCTCTAAGGCTGAAAGACTTGAAGCCAAAATTGGCAATCTGGAGAAAGCCCGCCTTGCTTTTATCTTTTTGCTATATATGAAACTCTAATCTTCACTTTTGCTTTAGTCATAGGCCCTTCACCACTGTGATTAGTGAAATAGTCATCATTTGAGCATAATCAAAAATTACAGATGTGAATAAACAGTGCCCCATTACCAAAAAACAAAGATGGAAATACTCAATAAGCCCTTTCATCTACATGAATTTCACTTTCCAAATCAAGCCAAGAATAATGACTGTCAGTCCTTAGTATATTTGTGTGAAAAAATTCTTTTACACAGTCAAATAGCTTCTGCACAGATAATATCCCTTCTTCAATGACCTATAAGAAACTAACCACAAACTCACAATATTTACCAAAGAGGCAGTTAAAGACAGAAGTTCATTTGATCTCACCACAAACGAATCATAATGTAGGTTTTAAACTAATGTAATGTCTATTAGAAGGTTTCTTCTTTTTATTAGTTACGTTAATGATCTTTAACCGCATGTTAATTACCATCATCAGACCTCTTTTGGACTCTGTCTGGGCCACAGTGAGTCTTCATCAAAAAATTAACTCATGAACAAAGTCTACTGAGGGTGATACATTTTTTAATTTAAACCAGAAGAGAAACATTTTTTAGAAAATGCTTTGGGGACCCTATCAGTCCCCTACAACTTTAGGTTTGTAATTTTTTTTATAGTTTTCTAAGGTGCCTGAATAAACTAATTAAAAATTTGTAACACTAGTGAGATCATTGCTCTGTCCTGATTGCTGCAGCCACATCGCCTCAAAATTAAAAAGAAACAACACACTGTTACTGTGGTGGTGTTATGTTCTATTTGTTGCATTTCTGCTTAAATATCATCCAGAATGTAATGGCTGTTTCATTAACTGACACATGCATCAGCAACTTTGCATTTTCTGTGAGTAATATTCACATCCTCAGTCAGCATAATTCAACATTTGGCATGATAGCTTTTGTGTCAAACAGCATACAGTGCTTTTATTGTGGTTCAATTATTACAGTGATACATTGCTGTTGTCTAGCTTGAGTGCAACATTTTTAATAAACACTGGATTATCATAAATCTACCAGTTTACTCTGATTTCTGTTTAGACACCTCTTTTTATTGTCCTCATACTGCAGCTAAGTCCTCCACCAAAAGCATACAGTAAATACAAGAGGAAAGTCCCAGCTCTCATTGGAAAACTCAAAACAATTAAATCTTTGTTTTTAAAAAAATGTGTGTTACATATGGGTTTATTTTACAATGGAAATTGAAATACATAGCTTAAACAATTAAATGAAAATGTCAGAAAGAGCAGCTCAGAAACAAGTGTTTCTACTGGCTCAGTTGTCACTTAAAGCTTTTGAATATGTGTTACGACAAAGGTAAGCGGTCATTTACATGTACAGACAGAGCCATATTTCAAATTTATGTGGCCTACCTTTTGAAAATGAGGGCAATGACAAAGTCAGGGTTCACTCTGATTCTCCAATCGCCCTCTTTCCCAGGGGGGTATGGCTGGGGGTAGTTAGGAGACAAGATGACTCCAGAGGGGCCGCTGACATTACCCCCACAGGTGGCTGGAGACAGATAAACAGCAAGGGAGAGACACAGAGAGAGAGAAAGATGATTACACAGCATTGGGGTTGGGGTAATTTGGAAAGCGAATCACCCCTGACTGACCACTCATACAACCCCCACAGGTAGGAAGAGCGGAAGAGAGTTAGTGATGTGAGGTATAGCAGGGGTTGGTTAGGAGAGAGAGAATTACTCCTGGTGGAACACTGATATTACCTCCACAAGTAGCTGGAGAGGGCGAAAGAGCAAATGAGAGACAGAGAGACGGTTACAAGATTTAGTTACAGAGTGTAGGTCTGGGGGTAGTTAGAAGAGAGAATCACCCCTAACGGTCCTGTTATCCCACAACAAGCCAGAGAGCTGGAAAGAGATATTGGCCAGATATTGGCAAGAGAGCCTGCTGGATGCATTCAAGCAGCAATTTGGTGATGAACCTGAAACATGGAGAGGTGTCTTGGGGCTGGCAGGTAGGTGTGAACAGATTATCAACAGTGAAATAGAGGTAAACAAAGGCATTAACACTTGCATATCACTCACAGACAGACACACACTTAAACTCTAGACTATTGTGCGTAATAGTGGTTTAATCTTAGTAGCTTTTGGACACAAGGGATTCGCCACCTGAGGTGAAAGTGCAGGAAGCTCACACAGCCTAAGCCAAGAGAAAGTGGAGGATGCTGTAAGCCCTGCATTTTATCTAAATGTGAGGTCACTGGAAAGGAGTCAGAGGCAATATCAGGAACAAAGCATAATGTATCTCACATGCATGATTACCAGGAAAATTACTCGTCTCTGTGACCATGCTGGAGGTCTTTCCAGGAGTGATGGCTGATAAAGAGGAGATGGCAACTGAAACAGAGGCTGTGGCACCGACAGCAATGCAAATGTCTGTAGTCTGTTGCTGCAGGAATTTTTACTGCGTTGTTCAGATTGTTTACATCCCACCTTCAGCAGTGTATGATGCCGTACCTCACCCTGGTGCTTGAATAATTAAAAATCCAGATGCCCAGGATCTTTATGGTGATCTCTGCTGATTTTTCCTCACCTGTCTACTCTGATTAAATTAATTTGAAATGTCATGTTCAAGACAAAACTGAGCTGGATGCAACAGTTAATCAGGAAAAATAAAGTGTATTTTTGTATACCAAGACATTGCTCAGCGGTAGCCCGCAACCAACTGGTAAGTACGGATACAGGGATCTGTGGACATGCCACAAGCTCGTCTTCAGCTGATATACTGGGAGTTGTAGGTTGACCAGTGAGGACACTGAAAGGCTTTTGCTGCATTACATATAGTCTCTTCTTTTGCATTGACTCTGCTATTCCTGTGTTTTCTGACTCAAAAAAGGCAGGCTCCAGTACTGGAAGTCTCTGCTTTAGTGAGGAAGACAGGTGTGTAAGAAGAACTCAGGAGGAAAATAAAGGAAGGAAGAAAAACTGCAGCAGAATCCTGGTGTGGAGTGGGACACACATTGGATATAAGGTGGTGGTAACAGAGCAACATGCTCTGGTTTTTAAAAGTTTTGATACAGGATCTACATCACAGCTACCTCTTTCTGTAGCATCTTTCTGTGATGCTACTGATCTGACCTCACCTTTTTTTTTAAACCATTCTGCCTTATCTATACATTGTCCATCACAGCTACAAAGGTGACAGTGGTATTTGGGAGGTTTTTGATGATGCTTATCCTAATCACAGTTTCTTCAGCACTTGATTAGCTTCTCCTTGATCTTAAAGAGCATGCATCCATGGCAGAACAACACAGGGACACATACTGTAAAGGACCTGAGCTATCATGCTTGTTGTTTACTCTCTAAACATCAAGCTTAAGATGTAGCTCTGGATCAGCCTACTTCTAGTGGAAAAAGTGGTAAACAGTGAAAAAGTTGGTGTCTGATGGACAGAATATAAAAACTTTAATGTCTTCTGCCTTTTTCATATTTAGTCCTCTTTTTTTAGCAACATAAATATATGTAATATATAATAGGTCTCCACCCGGCCAACATGTCACTCATCACATGGTATGTGTGAACAGTATGCAGCGTGGCTTCATATCTTAGCTCTTAAAGTCAATTAATTTAATCTCAGTCTGGCAGGTGGTGATCCACAGAGTAATGTATAACATACCTATACATGTTGGAGGGTCAGGGTGCTAGTAGAATCTGTTATCCATCCGCACACATGTAATGGTGTCGTGGCCTTGCAGCTGGTAGCCTGGGTCACATTGGAATGTTATACTGTCACCAGGCTCCTTACTGTCCCCATATCGGGAGCCATTTACAGGGATGCCTGGGTCGTTGCAGGTTGTTGCTGTAGTGGCTACAGAGTGTGAAACAACCAGAGACAGATATTGATATACTGTTGGTAGAGAATTCCCAGGGGGGTATGGCTGGGGGTAGTTAGGAGACAAAATGACTCCAGAGGGGCCGCTGACATTACCCCCACAGGTGGCTGGAGACAGATCAACAGCAAGGGAGAGACACAGAGAGAGAGAAAGATGATTACACAGCATTGGGGTTGGGGTAATTTGGAAAGCGAATCACCCCTGACTGACCACTCATACAACCCCCACAGGTAGGCAGAGCGGAAGAGAGTTAGTGATGTGAGGTATAGCAGGGGTTGGTTAGGAGAGAGAGAATTACTCCTGGTGGAACACTGATATTACCTCCACAAGTAGCTGGAGAGGGCGAAAGAGCAAATGAGAGACAGAGAGACGGTTACAAGATTTAGTTACAGAGTGTAGGTCTGGGGGTAGTTAGAAGAGAGAATCACCCCTAACGGTCCTGTTATCCCACAACAAGCCAGAGAGCTGGAAAGAGATATTGGCCAGATATTGGCAAGAGAGCCTGCTGGATGCATTCAAGCAGCAATTTGGTGATGAACCTGAAACATGGAGAGGTGTCTTGGGGCTGGCAGGTAGGTGTGAACAGATTATCAACAGTGAAATAGAGGTAAACAAAGGCATTAACACTTGCATATCACTCACAGACAGACACACACTTAAACTCTAGACTATTGTGCGTAATAGTGGTTTAATCTTAGTAGCTTTTGGACACAAGGGATTCGCCACCTGAGGTGAAAGTGCAGGAAGCTCACACAGCCTAAGCCAAGAGAAAGTGGAGGATGCTGTAAGCCCTGCATTTTATCTAAATGTGAGGTCACTGGAAAGGAGTCAGAGGCAATATCAGGAACAAAGCATAATGTATCTCACATGCATGATTACCAGGAAAATTACTCGTCTCTGTGACCATGCTGGAGGTCTTTCCAGGAGTGATGGCTGATAAAGAGGAGATGGCAACTGAAACAGAGGCTGTGGCACCGACAGCAATGCAAATGTCTGTAGTCTGTTGCTGCAGGAATTTTTACTGCGTTGTTCAGATTGTTTACATCCCACCTTCAGCAGTGTATGATGCCGTACCTCACCCTGGTGCTTGAATAATTAAAAATCCAGATGCCCAGGATCTTTATGGTGATCTCTGCTGATTTTTCCTCACCTGTCTACTCTGATTAAATTAATTTGAAATGTCATGTTCAAGACAAAACTGAGCTGGATGCAACAGTTAATCAGGAAAAATAAAGTGTATTTTTGTATACCAAAGACATTGCTCAGCGGTAGCCCGCAACCAACTGGTAAGTATGGATACAAGGATCTGTGGACATGCCACAAGCTCGTCTTCAGCTGATATACTGGGAGTTGTAGGTTGACCAGTGAGGACACTGAAAGGCTTTTGCTGCATTACATATAGTCTCTTCTTTTGCATTGACTCTGCTATTCCTGTGTTTTCTGACTCAAAAAAGGCAGGCTCCAGTACTGGAAGTCTCTGCTTTAGTGAGGAAGACAGGTGTGTAAGAAGAACTCAGGAGGAAAATAAAGGAAGGAAGAAAAACTGCAGCAGAATCCTGGTGTGGAGTGGGACACACAGTAGGAGCTCCATTGGATATAAGGTGGTGGTAACAGAGCAACATGCTCTGGTTTTTAAAAGTTTTGACACAGGATCTACATCACAGCTACCTCTTTCTGTAGCATCTTTCTGTGATGCTACTGATCTGACCTCACCTTTTTTTTTTTTAAATTCTGCCTTATCTATACATTGTCCATCACAGCTACAAAGGTGACAGTGGTATTTGGGAGGTTTTTGATGATGCTTATCCTAATCACAGTTTCTTCAGCACTTGATTAGCTTCTCCTTGATCTTAAAGAGCATGCATCCATGGCAGAACAACACAGGGACACATACTGTAAAGGACCTGAGCTATCATGCTTGTTGTTTACTCTCTAAACATCAAGCTTAAGATGTAGCTCTGGATCAGCCTACTTCTAGTGGAAAAAGTGGTAAACAGTGAAAAAGTTGGTGTCTGATGGACAGAATATAAAAACTTTAATGTCTTCTGCCTTTTTCATATTTAGTCCTCTTTTTT